AGTCAAAATTATCTTTGTCAGTTTTGATTCTGAATACCTATTATATCATATAGAAAGGTAGGGATTCATGAGAAACTTTAGCTAGAAGCAAATAAAAAAGCTATACATATTTGCAAAATATGCTTATACAATGTAAAGTTCATGTTCATAAACTTTAATCCAGTCATTACACATCTAGCAATTAATTCCAAAGAAATAACCGGGCAAAGAGCCAGTATATATACACTGATTTTAACAAAATCTTCAAGGTAGATCTTTGTCAATTGAGCTCTGAATCAGATCATATTTTCATTATAGCATTTTTAAGAATTGAAAAACTGGAAACAGCCTAAATGTTAAACATTAAATGTTCATCATTTGAAGAATGGTTATATTATAGTAAATATTTTATAATTGTTAAAAAGAGTAAGAGAGACAGGTACGGTTATATACATCTGTAGTCCCAGATACTTGAGTGGCTGCAGGAGGGGGATCGTTTTAGCTGAGGAATTTGAGGCCATCCTGGGGACCATAGTGATAACCTCATCTCAAAAAATAAGGGAAACATATATAAGACCTAGTGTTAAGAAATAAAACAGGTTAGGGAATGTTAAATGGAAGATGATCTTATTTGTATAAGAGCATATATTAATGTATATTTATTTACATGGAAATATATCCACGTTTTATAGGAAAATAAAAAGATTATATAAGTGTATTTAGAGTGTGATTTCATTTTACTTAAATATGTATATATAATGTATATGTTTCATATATTTATTATATATACAGACACGTAGAAGAAAATTTCAAAGTTTCTGTACCAAATTGTTAGTAGTAATTGTCTGTGGATGGTGGGATTAAGTAGAATTCTCACTTTTTAATTTGTGTACTTCTGCATTGCCTAATGTCTTTCCACAGTGACCTAATATTACTATTAATATACTTCTGAAAATAAAAATACTGTGTATATTTGGTGACATTAAGAGATATATGCAATATGTTACTATATTGAATAAAATTACCAAAAGGCATATGGTTTAATATAATCTGTTTTTACATAAATGAGTATATGTATCTGTACATAGAATATATACCAAAATAGTAAAAGTGGTTATCTTTGGGTCTTTGGGATTAACACTTATTTTTATGTATTTTCTTTTATTTAACCTTATTTTCTTATTTCCCTCTAATAAGGGTATTTTGTGAAATTAAGGGGAGAAAAAAGCACAAAGTAGTTCCCCCTGTCTAGCAGAGCTTGAGTACGATGGCCAATTTGAGATAGTCATTGAGGTATTTTAGGTGCCAAGTGGCAGTATCTTGTGTTTCAGGGAAAATGTGATGGTTATGTAAGACTAGCTACATAATTGGCTGGACCCAGTGCATAAGGAAAATCCTTTTTTAAAAAAAGTATGAAAAATTACTGTCAAAAGTACTACAATGTAAAGCTTTTTCCTTTGTTGCACATCTCTTTTCTGCTCATGTGCACAATCCTCTCCCCTTGGAATCACATAAAAAAGCACAGATTCAAAGATAAAATTATTAAGAATTTTAAGATGGTGAAAGCATTAAATCAAGTCCCGGCCCTTCTGAGTTGGGAGGTGGGAGAGATCTTTGTGACTGCACAGGTTTACTTGCTTAAAGCTGGCTTTGTGGTCTCGAAGAGAGGAAGCCTTGTTCTATATATTATCCAGAGACACTCAGGAAACTACCAGTGGCAGAATGATTTAGAGTACTATGCTTAGTTGGCACTCAGAGTTGGACTTCTCTGCTCCTGTCTCTGCTATGCCAAGCTGACAGTTTAAATGTGTATCTGGAATCAGTTTTTACCTACCCTGACTTCCATTAATTATGAAGACTAGTGTTTGTTAGTAGTAGAGTACTGACCCAACTTATTGTCTCTTAATTTATGGGCTGTGTGATTTCATAATTGTGACTATAGTTGTGCTTTGGACAAACAAAGCAACCTGTCTCACCAATATTTAGTAATAGTTTTAGCCAAGTCTATCAACTTCTACCTCTTCCCTTTAGAGGTACTGTAGTTACTAAGTTTTGACTCTAGCCTTATACAAAAAATTATTATATAACTATTTCTACCTTCTAACAAAGCAAGTTCTAGAATATGCCATATGCACAATATTCAGTGCCTGACAGGAAGGACTGGAGATTATCCAAAACCAGGCAGCTTACCTGGTCTGCCATTCTGGCTCAGTAAGAAAAATGCATTCTTGAAAAGAGATGGCAGGTAGAAATGACAGGAGCACCATGTATGGGTGCAGATTCCCTATGACGAGTGTTATTATGTATGCCTAAAATGTACCAATAAATGTTGTGCTATTAAAAAAAAGAAATGACAGGAGCTTGTGAGTTGACGACTGCTAGGGTAAAGATTCTGGGGAAGGAAGTGGAATGGGAGTATTAGAGGGTTGAAGAATTGGAAGGAAGTTTGAGGAAAGGGAAGGTGATTGGAAAGGAATGTGTGAAGAGGAGTAAGGACTCTCAGAGGTCTAAAGAAATCTGTGGCAGTGTTTGGTGGCACATGCCTATAATCCCAATACTATATGAGGAGGAAGGATGATCATAAGTTTAAGCCCACCCTGGGCAATTTAGCAACTTAGCGAGATCATGTCTCAAAATAACAAAAAAACAAATGGTTGGGTTATAGCCCAGTGTGAATGTTCTGGGTCCTGGTTCAATCCCAAGTACCACATGTGCACACGTACACACACATGCATGTGTGAACACATACGGAAAGAAAGAAACTATCTATATTTATTCGAATTTACCATCTTAAACTTTTAAATTTTATTTTCTGAGGATCAAACCCAAGGTCTCATGCATGCTAGGCAATTGCTCTACCACTGAGCTAAATTCCCTTCTTAATCACTTTCAAGGGTACAATTCAGGGGTAAGTACATTCCCACTGTTGTGCAATAGTTCTGCAGAACATTTTTCATCTTGAGAAAACCAAAACAATAACTCCCTATTTCTCCTTGCCCCTGGACCCTGATGACCACCATCCAACTTTCCTTTTCTATGAATTTGACTACTTTAGATATGTTGTGTGTTGTGGTTTAAATCTAAAATATCCCTGCAAAGTCTCATGTGTTCAGAGGTGGGGCCTGATCAGAAATGGTGGGTCACTGGGGGCCTGACCTAGAAATTCTTGTCCCTGACTTCTCCCTTCACTCTGTTTCCTGGCTTCCATGGGATGAGCCAGCTAGGTTTTTCACGATGCAGTTGCTGTGATGGAGCCAGCCCACTACTGACTGGACACATTGAAACTATGAAGCAAAATAAAGTTCTCCTTTAAGTTGTGGGTGTCAAGTATAATAGAGTCATGAAATTGGAATCATGCTCTCATTTAGTGACTGAATTATTTCACTTAGGATGAGGTCCTCAAGTGATATTTCATGTCTTTTATTCATTTTCTAATGGATTTTTGGGGGGTTTTTAATGTTAAGTTTTGAGAGTTCTTTTTAAATTCTAGATATGTCTTTTTCAGATATGTAGTTTGCAAATATTTTCTCTTACTTGGTGGCTTTTCACATTTGTAACTGGGTCTTTCACAGAAATAATGTATTATTTTTGATGAGGCCCAATTTATGATTTCTTCTTTTTGTGGACGATGATTTCGGTATAAATCTAAGCACTCTTTGCCTACTTGTAGGTCACAAAGATTTTCTCCTATTGTTTCCCCTAAAAATACGATTTTAAATTTCATGTTTAAGTCTGAGATATATTTTGAGTTAATATTTGTATAAAGCATGAGACTTAGATTCAGTTTCATGTTTGCCAATGGGATGGTTCTTCTATTTTAAAAAATTGTGTAAAATTGTTGTTAATCCTTCTTTATATGTTTGTTAGTGCTATCTAGAAAAATCATCTAGACCTGGAAATTTATTGTTTTAGATCTATCTTTAAATTGCTCATTAAATTTCCTTATGGTTAGTTCACATGATGTATTTCATATAGGATGAATTGGTGTTAATTTGTATCTTTAAGGAATTGATTCATTGAATCTACATTCTCAAATATATGTGTAAAATTGTAATATTTCCTTACTATCTTTTGGGTGTATGTGGGCTATTTACATCCTTTTATCTTGTGTTTCATTCCTGATATTGTAATGTGTGGGGTTTTTTTCCTCTGTGTTTTTATCAGTCTTCTTACATGTTTGTGAGGGGTTTTTTTAATCACTTAAAAGCACCAGCTCTTTTTCTCCATTGAATTTTCTATCGTTTTATGTTTTTAATGTCATTAATTTCTGCTCCTTATTCCTTTCCTTCTGCTTGCTTTTCTTATAGTTTTTCTTCGGTTGCTAAATTTTTTTTTTTTTTTGGCATCTGGATCGAACTCATGACCTTGAACTTGCGAGGCAGATGCGGTGCCACTGAGCTAAATCCCCAGCACTCTGTTGCTAAATTCTTGTGTTGGGAGATTGGACTACTGATTTCAGACTTTTCTTGTTTTCTATTGTATGCATTTAGTGCAATAATTTTCATTCTTAGCACAGTTTAGCTGTAAATTTGTGTTCCAAAAATTTAGGTTGTGCATTCATTTATTTTTTCATTACTTTATTTTAAAAAATTTCCCTTGAAACTTTTTTGCTCCATGGATTATTTACAAGTGTATTGCTTAGTTCCCAAATGTTTGGAAGGTTTTATTTTTTCGTTATCTTTCTGTTATCAATATCTGGTATGATTCCACTTCAGACCAAGAACATATTCTGCATGATTTCAATGCTTTTAAATTTGTTAAGGTTTGTTTTTTGACCCTGGATAAGCATTATCTTGATATATATTCTGTTGCTGCTTGAAAAGAATGTATATTCTCTTTTTGTTGGATGGAGAATTCTATAAAGGTTGACCAGATACCATCGGTTGATGATGTTGTTGGGTTCTACATCCTTGCTAATTTTCTGTATAGTTATTCGATCAATTATTGAAGATGCTAGCATAGTTTCTGCTTTATCTATTTCTCCTCTAATTCCATCTGTTTTTGCTTTACATATTTTGCAGCTCTGTTGTTTGATGCATACAGAGGATTTTTATGTCATGAAGACTAGATGCTCTTACCATTATGTTATGTCCTTATCTGTCCCAGTTAAACTTTCGGAGTCCAAAATGTGAGTTGCTTTTTTTTTTTTTTAAATTAAATTCTTTTATAGGTACATTATAGGTATACAACACAATTACATTTCTTATTGGGAATTGTACCTTTACATAATGCATCTTGGTTCTTATTTTTTCCCCATTCCTAGCCCTCCCTTCACCCCCTCCACCCTTCCCT